ATATATATATATAAATCTTTGTCTATGTTATTGTTGCCAATTAGATATATATATATATATATATATATATACAATATGCACAAGATGGTATGGTAGGGAGTACTACATTCCACCTTTAAATAAGCCATTAAATAAAGTATGCTCAGTTTTTAAGCAAAATGAGAAGCAGTAAAAATATTTCACTCTAAAATGTTCTGGGGGCCAGATAAGATGTCATCAAGGGCCATATTTGGCCCCCTGGCCTTGACTTTGAAACATGTGAATTACATTAATGGAAGCAAAGAGTGGGCTGAGAATCAGACAGCATGATCAACAATGAGCAAAAATACCAGTTTCACAATATTACAACAAAAATTTAAAATGCGCCACACAAACAAATTGCTACAACTACGACTGCAACCGCTGCTCAGAAAATATTATAATTACTGCTGAAATGATCAGTGCGCCACTGTCCGGGAAATATAATCCTGTTTTATAAAGTCTGTCTGAGATATTTCATGCACTAATAACAGATTTAAAATATGTGTCAACGTCAGCTATCAATATATTGTCGAGATTGAAATCCTCATTTAATCACAAAACTTGAGATTAAACTCAAAATCAGTGTTAGCTAAAACAACAGTCAGCAGGTTGCTTTAAAATATATATATATTTAAACAGATTTACACAAAGTTTGAAGGCCTAAACAAAAATATAGAATAAATAACAGATACATGTAGTAAAATGTTCAAATTGTACTTGTGCAAATTACTTATTTATTTTGTACAGAAATGTTTAGATTATGGCATGCTAGTGTTAGCACACAAATTAGCCTGGGTATTAATCTCAGCAGCAGACGATCAGTAGGTTGTTTAGTTTACCGGTAAACACGGTAATTCTCTTAGGTCGTTTTAAATACTAGTTTCAGAACTGTGTACCTCTCCTGGTAGACAAACCATCATGTGTGTTTTTCCTCTGCATGAAAATAGATTTATTTTTTTCCAATGGGGGAGTATTTTAGGGGCATTCTCCTCATCGTACACAGCTAGAAAACCCTGCTCCATCTTTTGAATCGCATTAAAATAAATGTAATTCAGAGAAATGGTGCGATAGAAAAAAATAGTTTTGAAAAAGCACTGTGAAAAAAAAAAGTACAACTTCTTCTTTATGAGAGAAATTGAACTAAAATGAGAGAAAACGCTCCTGAAACTCCACATTATGAGTTTATTAATCCTCTTTCCACTGGTCTATAACTAAAAAGTGACCTTTCAGAAAATAGATTCATTATTTTACCTACTTAATCTAGCTTCACGTGACAGTCACGCTGCTTCTTTTGTAACCTGCTGGATGTATAATCCAAGAACCAGAAGAATATTTTTGTGGAAACGACTTATTTTTATGTTTTCTATCGGTCATGTTTGTATAAATTGTGAGAATTCTAAATTACAGTGAAACCAGTGGCTTTTGACATATTTTAACAAAAAAAAAAAATCCTTATGTTGCTCAGAGTTCTTACTTAACTAAAAGAAGCCTTCGTCCAAATAAAGGCACTGAACCTTTGCAGAGGAGTAAAAGCACGTGACCTCTGACATAGCACACACGTTTGACATTTTACACCGAGATGTGACATTAGAGGGAAACCAGCAGGGTGACGGCGGTGGGGCTTGTGTTTGTTCGTCACCTGGTGGGACTTGTAGAAAAACAGACTGAAGTTGGTGAAGACCACCCAGAGCTTCTGCCAGCCGTTGCTGTTCTTGAACTTCCTCAGCAGGTTTCCCGACAGCTGATTCTACAAAAAACAAACGGCAGCCAGTTCGATTTGGAAACTACAGATCTGAAGGATTCAAACAAACACCAAGAAAACTACACGTTCTCAGTTCTTTTGCATTTTTAAATAGACTTTTGTTGCACACTGAAGCCTTCTAACCAGGTTCTCCTCTCTAGAATCATGATCTTTGACCAACATGTCTTCATAACTGTGATGAGACCGGCTTACGCCTCGTCATTACGTCCCAAATCAGCTTATTAAATGAAAATTAAAGCCTTTTTAAAAGATATTTAAAAAGGAATTTATTACCTTTGAATGCATTTTTTTTTAAATAAATCAAAAAACTTCACACATAAGTACAAATATTACAGTAAAAACACATCAAACTATTGTTGACAGTTATCTGTAATACTAATACTTAGCACATAATAAAACTTTTATCAGTTTATTGCAGCTAAGTGTTTACGCGTTATTAGGAATATCTATTAAAGAATAATAATATTATGAGCCCAACATCATTTTTATGTGTTTAATTTCTTCCTAATGCAAATGTCTGGTGATATGTTTATTATTTGCTTCACAACAGCATGTACTGTAACTTTTTTTTTCATAAAATGTCAATCAATCCTTTGAATCCTGACAGCACGTTTTTATACCTTTTGAGTTTGACACTTTTGTTTTAGACTTAAAATTGAAAGGTTTATAGTTTGTTCCAGTACACATCTGGTTGTTTTCTTGTTCAAATAATTAGAGAAGAAGAAGATTTTAATTCTGGATTGCTTTGTAATTTTCTGCAGCCAGTTATTCTGTCGTAATTGATAGTTGTCTCGGGTTAAGTTGCAGAAAAACATTCCCACAAAATGCTGACGCCATATTTGACTGCAGGGATAGAATTAACACGTTCACTACATGCTCATTGCACCCCTTATCCAGTGAATGGACACTGCCTCATGTCAGAGTCCTGTTCAGGGTAGATAATTAAATTAACTAAATATTTCTTTATGCAAAAAATCCAAAATCTGATTGTGTGCATATGTGTATATTTTAAGAGGGAAAAAGTGCCTCTCCTGGCTGCCTGGCTTTTTTACCTCCAGACTCCTGCAGGATTCACTAAAGGAGAGGCTCTGAACACGGTACCAGCAGATAACAGACAGAGGAACTGGTCCCTGGCCGTTCGTGGGCCCCACCGTGGGGGCCTTATTGTCACAGACCGGACTAGGCTCCTCTACCACGAAGGAATGCACAGGAGAGAAAACAGACAGGAGGGGAAGGACAGAAACACAGAAACTGAGTAGGTTCCACGTGAGCATGCGGTGGCAGAGTGGTTAACACGGAGGCAGACAGCGTGTCCAGGCAAAGCTGTGAAGAGGACATTGTTACAGCTACAGAGGAAGAGCAGAACTGGTGCGGGACACAGCTGGGTTGGAAGGAGGCTACGTCACACAACAGGACACGATCTGTTAAGACGAAGACATGAAATATTTTAAAAACCGGGAGGGGAGAAAAGAGACAGACGCACACAGAACAGCAGCAGTTTGGTTAGATCAGGACATCACACCGGCTGCTGTCAGCCAGAGAGGGATTGAAACAGTAGCCTCACGTAGGCTGAACATAGACGTTAAAAATGATCTTACATGTCTGCAATGATTTACTTATCTTTAAAAGATGAATAGGAAACATAAATCTATTTCCTTTAGAAGTCATTTCAGTTTAAAGGCTGATAAATCTATGAAAACAATTGAAAAAGTGTGTATGTAACTACTTAAAGTAGAATAGCGTGCTGGATTTAAGGTCAAAATTTCGGCTGCTGTAAAAGTTCATTTCCAAAACTCCTTGTTTTATTGTTTATAATTGAAAAGCAGAAATAGGGCAATAAAAAAAACTTAAGCATCTCTGTCTGCAACACCGTGAGAGGGCAAAGCTGATTTAGTTTGCACAACTTTTTTTACACCATTGTGTGTGTGTTTAGGATCAGTGCCATTTTTCCCAAAAACCACTTCAATCTTCTTTTTTTCAGACTTTGTACAGTTTTCATCCATAATTAAGTGATTTCATCAAAAATACACACAGGAATCAATTCTTTCTATGACCAAACATTCCCTTATTACATTTGCATGCAATGCAGGTGGATTCTTGGTAAAGATGGCAAGATTATATAATACAAGAATCCATTTTATGCCAAGTTCAAAACTATAAACCTGTGACAAAAACACAACAATGTAGACAAACTAGTGTCTTGATCCAATAGCAACAGTGTCGGTTGCCTGTGAGAGTCAACACGCAATAATCTGAGGAGGTTGTCAAAAAGTTTTACATTGTGATTATTTCTTTAAACTGTAAAAAAAAATAAACACAACTTGTGCCTAAAATGTTAAACTGAATGTTTCCTCTTAAAGTGACTCATTGCAAAGTATGAACCTAAACATAAAAAAGATTACAGTAGTCCCTCGCTACTTCGTGGCAACTTTAATATTACTCACGTGATTGGGACGGTACGGGATAAAAAGTTAACGGGGAAAAAAAAAATGCTTCGGCCAAGCGCCACCATTTTGTAGTTTTCTTTTAATAAGCCTACACTGTAACACCAGTCTAAGAACTACAATACCCAGAAGCCAACAGTGCTTCCAGCCGCTGCTTTCTGCCAAAACGGAGGGAAAAATTTAATCTGATCCAAACCTGACTAAAAAGTTTTGTCCTTATTCATAGTGACTTTAGTACTCAGTGGATGCAGAGAGACGATCAGAACCGAACCCGAACCGGATCAAGGTTGGTGCATGGGTTCACATATAAAATTTTGCAGTACTGTAGAGTACATATATGTATGTTGTTAAAATGACATAAGTTGAAGAGTTTAGAACACTGAAAGAGTGTGGGAAAGGTTTATAAAGCCTTAAAATATATATATACATATTAAAATAAATATAGAATTCCTACTTTGTGGTTTTTCACCTGTTGTGGGGGTGTGTGGAATGTAACCCAGGATAATCGAGGGAATACTGTATCTGAATTATACCAACTATATACTCGTGCAGTTTTCCAAATATATTGAGCGGACTTCTAAAATGCAGGTCTGCACTCAATGTAAACAAAGCACCCGGGCGAAGCTGCCAAAAACCACGTGGAAGCTCGAGTCACCTGACTGACCTGCATTAAGCTGAATGTACATTTGACCTACAGTCTGTTAGGGATAAGGAACTGTTGTGTGGCTCTGTTTTTTTAACCATATGATTTTTTTGTTTGGGTCTTTCTTTGCAACGAGTACATTTAAACTTCATGCTTTAGATGACCCATACGTTACTCTTTTAACTTTTTACAGCAACAGAAGTTTTGAGCAAAACTTTAGCATGCCTTTGCATTAGTTCTGCTCAGTTATAATCAGTAGTTGAGGTCCGGTGCAGCTCAGGAGGACACTGTTCCAAGCAAAAGATCAAGAAGAATTCAAAAACAGCACAGAAGAAGAAGAAAGAAGAAAAAAAAAAAACAGCAGGGCAAGACGAGGAGGGGCAGGTCAGAGCTTTAGCTGATACCTCCACAGCTACGCTAAAGTCCACCATGGACACGCTGGTGTTCCTGTGCCAGCACACGTGCACCATGGTGTTACCACGGTGAGCGGCAGGCCTCTCCGGCAACGTGCTCACAGCCGGTGCGTCGTCCTCAGACTCTGCCTCGGCTGAGGAGTCTTCTGAGCATTCTGGGAAAGTCAGGAGGTTGTTACTGCTAGACAACGAGCAGAGTGGTGAGGGGGGAGGGGCTAAAGAGGCTAAAACAGACAGTGTCAGATTATTCGGAAACTGGGCTTTTGGGTTTATTTTAAAAACTCATAATTCACGTGTTTTTTGACAATAGCAGAGTTCTTTTTATGAGTTAACTTACTGCTGTCTGTCAGGTTGCAGGTCAGCAGCTCAGATGAAAGTCCGTTGCTGGTTGTTGCCATTTCTATGGCCATCTTGATGTCCTCCATCCACTTCTCCATTTCTGTCAGAGAACTGGAAAAGAAACAAATCAAAAGCCGAGGAAAAAGGCAGGGATGACTCACAACAAAGTGGCCTTGAGGTTAGAAATAGTCCCACAAACAGAAATAAAATAATAATAATCATCTGCATGTACAACTACACTGAAGTGTTTCTGGTTAAAGACGAGCATGGCTTTGCCTCAAAAGTATCTCAAACAAGATAAAAAGCACAATTTAATCCATCCAAAGTGTGTTTGTTCTTACCTCGCTGCAACCACCACCGACTGCCCCTGTCCAACCAGTGTGAAGGCGTGAGGCACACCCCACTCATCCTCACTCTCTCTGATCTGAAAAAGGTAAACAGAAACACAGAAAAGACGTTAAACAGCAGCAAAATCTGGGACAGCGAGCACCAAAAATAGACTCGAGTGGGAGAGATGGAAGGAATTACAATAAAAAGGAAACACGAAAGAAGGAAATGTGCACTCTGTGTGTGTGTGTTTTGTGGGTGATGTTGACGGAGCTAAAGTTCAGCTGTCTGAGGCAGCTCATTTACAGTAATGACAATCTGCTGACAGCCATTCATCACTTTGCACGGCACCACACTCACTGTCATCCCACGGAGCGGCAGCTGCCCGTGCACTTTGAACTGATTGGTTGGCGTCATCCCTCGACTCGAGTACAAAATGACGTCGTTAAACTGTCACCAAGGAAACAGAGAGACGAACAGAGAGAATGCAAATGAATCCTCCAGATGAAAACCGGATCACATGCTTGAATGACGAAATGTATAAATAACTTTTCTATACGATGCTCCACCACAAACTCATTTTTAAAACTTTTTTACTGCCACGGATAGAACATACAACCAACCTGAATACATGTTCAGGGGTGATAAATGTTCAAAGGAACATGTGTTTTATTTTTAACACTGAATCTACCAACACCATCCACATCATGACTAGGCCTGTCACGATAACAAATTTTGCTGGGCGATTAATTCTCAGAAATTATTGCGATAAACGATAATATTGTTTAAAATTTGACAATAATTAGTAATTATTGTCAAATTTTAAAAGAAATGTTAATTTTTGTGTGAAGTACCTTTTTTGAACACTAGATGGCAGTATATGACTGTTTGAACCCAAGGATGGATAGTGAGGGAGCAAGCAGCGCGTCTCTTTAAGAAAAATGTGAGGGAGGCCCCTTGACGTGACATGGGCTGTCTCTCCATTTTTTTCAGTTCTCAAAATGGCGGATGCTCCGTGTGGTTTGAGCTCTTTAGCATAGCATTTTTCACACAAAGCTTTTAATTTAAAAAAAAAAAAAATCAGTAAACAAGTTCTCAGCTTCTTTTTGCAGAGAAAAACAACTGTTTACACAAAGGCACAGGTTTCAACCATGACTTTTGCAGCTTCGACAAGATTTTTTTTTCCCAAGGTGGGCCTGTTAGCTGAGCTCGTAGCTTAGCTTCTCAGCTTAGCTGCTTTTAACAATCCAAAAACGCGATTTTGGACGATTAAAACAAACAAAGAGTTGAGCCTTTTGTCATCCAGCATCTTCAGTAGAAAGAGAGACACGAAGAAACAATAAAGCCGATAAATGAAAATGAGGTAGATAATTTTTTAATTTTTCATGCGATTAATTGATTTGTTGTTTATCGCGACAGGTCTAATCATGAGCAGCTGAAAGAGTTTTCTTTCTGCTTCCATCATTCAGCTATGAGATTAGACGAGTGTTGTGAATTGACGGAAAAGGGTGTTACCAGGAAAAACATTCGTTGCTGTAGGCCTTTTCCAGACAGCTTGCTAAGGCAGCCTAACCTGATGAACTCCTGCAAATAAAAATAAAACATTGTTCAATGTCCTAAAACGTAGATTAAGAAAGCCAGTGGTCTGGCTTTAAACTCACCCGACCAGGAACAACGAGATTGTCAACGCCGAGCAAATCCTTCTTCAGCTCCAGAAGTTTCTGGAAGTTCTCCATCTTCATTAGACTCCCCTGGAGCTGTTCCACCACCTCAGTCACATCTGCCAGAGCAGCTGCACAACAACCCGACAAGTAAGAGGTGCGCAGATGCCGAGGAAAGCCACGTGTTGGCGAGAACGCACCTCTGCAGTCCCTGAAGTCCACATGGGTGGCCAGGTAGTGTTTGCACAGGCGCTCCAGGATCTGCTTGTAGTGAAGGAGGCGATGAAGAGGCCGCAGGACGAAGACGTTGAGCGGGATGTAGCAGACCTTCTGCAGCTCGAACTCCCTGCACAGACTCTCCAACCTGCAGGACGCCCTGCAAGCCTTTTCCACCTCCACCAGGATGTCGGCCTGCTTGTGCAGGTTTGTTGTCAGAGGCTGCAGATGGAGTGGTTGAGTAAAGATGTTGTGTTAAAACACATAAGATTTACCTGAGCTCACAACTCACCTTCAAGGCTTGAAGGTTTTTCAGCATGACGTCTCCGATGCGTTGGTAGTCTCCTTTAATGTGTGCGTTAGAGCGTCCTTCCCTAAACACAGAAAACCATGAGAAGTGAGTTGATGGGTTTCTGATTTCACCCAGAGAACGTCTGAAATTTCACATAACGTGATGTTTCTTGAAGTTTATATTGTTGAGAACAAAAATAAAAGCAGATTTCTTAAATAACATTTGAAATAATAAAAATTTTCCATTCATTGATTTTTGAAATTGTGTCCCTTTGGTATTAAATTTGTTAAATTACATATGAACGTCTTCAAAGTGAGAAGTTCTGTTTTTGTATTTTCATTCACTGCAGATTTTCCTTTCATCGTGTTTTTCTGCAAATAAAGCCTACATAAATGTAAATGTAATCTTTTTAGACAGCTGACAGTAAATTAATTGATTAACCAACACAAAACATTTTTGTTCAGTTCATTGATTATTCAGATGGTTTCGCTGCCTTTAAACTGCAATAAACAAAGTCCACCAGCAGGTGTCGCCTTTGAGCAGAAAAATCAACACGAGAGAGATCTGAACACCATTACTGAACTTATTTATAAAGATTTGAATTTTTAACTTAGAAAAATCTTAAATTTTTAACATGCAACTTGATTTAATTATGAGAAATAACTTTATAAATCTGTCCTAAACAACAGAGGTCCAGCTCTTCTTCTATATTTGACTATGCAAAGCTGAAAGACATGCAGCTCTGGATAATTTGTTTCTACATCTGTATGTGTGGTGCAATGAAATCTCACTCTCAGCTTTAGTTGTGAGTTTATGCAACTGCCTGTCTGTAGTACATGCTTGAAATATTTAATAACCTGATGAGCAAATGAGTTTGTGTAAGGGAAGAAGCTGTGTGCTAAAGCACAGCATCATTAAAGCCAGTTGTGTTGTTGCCATGGAGACGGGAGCTCCTCAATATACCTAAAGGGATTGGGTTGCCTTCTTGGGCTGTATGCCAATAAAAGTAATAAAAAAAAAAAAAACTGAGCAGAAGCTGAGATGAACTGGACCAGAACCAAAGCAACATGTGACTGAGCTCATCGCCCTACATGGGAAGTGTGGGAGTGAACGGAGCCTCACCACAGGGCCAGCCTCTGCTCCACCTCCCTGAGAAAACCCGTGTGGAACTTGTGCAGAGGCTCAAAGGTGGAGAGGACGGTGTCCTTCAGGGATTCTGGAGTCGCCTCGTCTTCACCCACAACCCTCTGGAAAGACTGGGAAATGCACAAATAGGAAACATTCAACATGAGAACAAACATTTAACAGTTTTTAGGTAAAACAGTTGTTACAAAGTATCTAATCGCCAGGGATGTCAACACAAACAGCACCCTGAGCTGAAACCAGAGTAAACTGAACACGTCTACAAAAAAAAAAAAAAAAAACTTTTGTTTTACTTTAAAGTTATCTTTTTTGTGGCATTCACACAAAATTCTACGATTATTTGCGAGCACAAAAAGCCACAACAGCTGCTAGCTGTGTGCTCCTGCTGCAGCCAGAGGCACTTCCTGCAAGAATATTCTAGCTGGAATAAATTCAATTCAATTCAGTTTGTTCATATAGCGCCGAGTCAGAACAGAAGTCATCTCAGGTCACTGAACAGAAACATTCATATGCATAAAAAACAAGTTAATATTATTTATGTGAGGAGCAGACTGCTTTGAGTTTAACTCCATCGCAGAACTCTCATCTTGAGCAAGCAAGAAGGCGACAGTGGAAAGGAAAACTCCCTCACGAGGAAGAAACCTCCAGCAGAACCATTAATCATGTACTGTAACACAAAACTGAGAGGAACAGAAGGGTTTATAAAATAGCTTCCACACAAACTGCTTTTACCTTTGTGAGATTAGAGTTGTTTTCAAACAGCAACAACCCACTTCGCTCTTGGCCTCACTCAGATTAGCATTAGCTTGTCAATCCCATCAAAATTAAAGATCTAGCACTCGTTAAAGAGAATACGGCAACAAGTTGTTCCAAAACTTATCTTTTCATGTTTAAAAAAAATGTATTAATCAAACATTGAAAATATGTGTTACATGAGATTTTGCACAATCAGTTAGCACTATGTGTTGAGGATGATCCTCACCTACCGTATTTTTTGGCCTATAAGTCACGTTTTTTTTTTGTTGCATAATTTGCATGTCCTGCGACTTATAGATCGAAGCAATGTATTTACGTTTTTTTTTCCCCTCGTATTTATAAACCAAATTTTGGCTGAGATATGACCGTTTTCATTCATTCTGAATGAAAAAATTGAACACTACTATTTTCAGTCGCTAGATGGCACTCGAGTAGTAAGGCATGCCGTTGTATCATTTAATAGGTAAAAGTGGCTATAATGACAAAGTCAAAACATTTGCTATAACTTTGAGCAAATAAATAATTGTTTTTAAGTGTTAGTCTTGTTAAATTCTTGTTAAAGTCCTCCCATACATGCTCCCGTGGCCACCATTTGGCAGCCAACCAATTTTTGGCACACCGGCCCAGATTTTTGGATTGTCAGTGGTGACGTGTAACAAACGCGACGTGTCAGCGGTGCCGCATAATAGATGCGACTTATACAGCGAAGCGACATATTTATGGATTTTTCCACTTTATTATACATATTTGGACTGGTGACGTATAAGGCGGAGCGACGTATAGGGCGGAGCGACGTATAGGGCGGAGCGACGT